TTTGGGGGGGTCCCTTGAGGTGTTTCAGTGGAGCTTAGCAGGGTTTGAGCTGTTGCTGGGGCTTTTTTGGGGGGGTCACTGAGGGAGAACTTGAGGTGTTTTGGGGCAGCTCAAGGTGGGTTGGGGCTCAGGGGCATATTGGGTGGCTTGGGGAGGTTTTGGGGTGCCCAGGGAAGGTTTTGGGGTGTTCAGGTGAGTTTGGGGGGCTCGGGGTCGCATCACTGACCCCACCCCCTGCAGGTGGCGGAGCTYGAGGCGCTGCCCCGCGACGTCTCCCGCGCAGTTTACACCCAGCGCATCCTGGAGATCGTGGGCAACATCCGCAAGCAGAAGGAGGAGATCGGGAAGGTGGGGGCTGGAGGGGCATTTTGTGGGGGCTCTGAAGGCTTGGGGGAGCCCCGACTCTTGTGGGGGGTTGGGGGAGAGTTTTAGGGTCCCTCGGGCAGCCTGGAGGCGTTTGGATGGCCTTGGGGCGTTCGGTCCTATTTGATGTTCTGGGGAGGGAGCTGTGGGTGTTGGGGGGAGGTTGTGGGGAGCTGGGTGACCCCCAAACTGGGAAGGGATTTTGGGGGGGTCGTGTCCTTCCCCCCCAGGCCTGACACCCCCTCGGGGACCCCCCCAGATCCTGGAGGACACGCGGGCGCTGCAGAAGGAGATCAACGCTCTGGTGGGGAAACTGGAGAGGACCTTCAGCGTCACCGACGAGCTGCTCTTCAAGGTGGGGGGGCCCCGGGGAACCTGGGGGGATCCTGGGGGGCACCTTGGGGTGGGGGCGCCCGTGGGGGGTGGTCACAGTGGGATTTTGGGGGCCCTGGGAGTGGGGAGAGAGGTGCATTCAGTGACACCCCTTTATGGATGTCCCCAAAGGGACAGGAGTTGGGGTGCTGGGACCCCYTAAACTGTCCCAGGTACCTCCCCCGAATTATACCACGTGCCCCCCCAAATTGTGCCACCCCCAAACTGTCCCTGTCCCYCTGCCAGGACGCCAAGCGGGATGAGGTGGTGAGAAAAGCCTACAAGTACCTGGCGGCTCTCCACGAGGTAATGGGGCTGGGGGGCTTTGGGGGGGTCCAGGTGGAATTGGGACAGACACTGAGGGGGGGAAGGGAGGACTGGAATTGGGGGAGGGTCCCTAAAAACCCCTCTTTTTGTTCTCCAGAACTGTGCCCAGCTGATCCGGACCATCGAGGACACCGGGACCATCCAGAGGGAGATCCGGGACCTGGAGGAGCAGGTGGGGGTTTGGGGGCTTTGTTTGGGGGGAAAAAGGGTGGTTTTGGGATGGAGCAGGGATTTCGAGTACCTCT